GCGACCCTCAGGGTCTCCCCCCCCAGGGGCAGGAGGTCGAGTCCTCTCATGGGCTCGGGTCTGTCAGAGTCTCCTCTCATGGGCCGGGGTTCCGGTCCCCCGGGGTAGGTCAGAACCTGTGTCCCCTCCCTGACCAAGGTCCCTCAGGGTCTCGCCCCATGGGCAGGGGTTTGGGTCCCTCAGGGCAGGGCAGAGCCGAGTCCCCTCAGAGGCTTTGGTCCCTCATGGACCCCGGCCCAGGTCCTTCAGGGCTCTGCTCCTTCAGGCCTGGAGGTCCCCCCACAGCCCGGGTGTCCCAGTGTGTCTCTCAGGCCTGGAGGTCCCCCCACAGCCCGGGTGTCCCAGTGTGTCTCTCAGACCCGGCTCTAACCCAGTTCTAACGTGGTTCTCCCACCTCTGTGTCACCCCCCGTGCAGTGTCACCAATGGTGGCAAAACCACCCTGACCAACAGGCTCGTCAAGGCTCTCCCCAACTGCTGTGTGGTCCACCAGGACGATTTCTTCAAGGTAAGCCGAGCCCCCTCTTCCTCACAGCGTTATTTGCTGCTTGTCTGCGCAGGGATAGCTGTGCTGGGTCCCCTGGCAGTGTCGGGTGCTCCTGCATGCTCACCCAGTCAGTTTGGACAGCTTAGGAGCCACACACTTCCCGATTTTAGGTGGTGGGGTTTTTTAAAAAAATATATATTTAATTTTTAAATGACTGGACAGGTGGGGTGTTCCTGACCTTTAAAAATGCCACGTGAACTTGGCATGACCCAGCTCAGAGAGGTCACAGCAAAACCTTTTAGTGTTAACTACAGATATAACCTACAGATATAACTGCTCATTTCAGTCAGAGGTTCCTTACTGTGCTCTGCACAAATAATTTTCTCCATTTTGGGTTTTCCCTCCTTATTTTACTCGAGTAAGAACGTGGCTCCTAAATGATACTTTGGGGTTTAAGCACCTCTGTGCTGGTTTAAATACAGAAAGGGGGTTTTATTGGGGAGCTCTGACAGCTCTGCATCAGAACCCAACTAAAATGTTGCAGAGGTGAAAGCAGAAGACCTTTGCTTGCTGCCTCCTGCTTGGAGGTGCAGAACCATGTCACTAAAGCACTGCACCATTCCTTGGGAATGACAATATCCCACGTGGAAGTCCAAGAGACGCAGGAATGTCCTTGGAGCAGTTCTGTGTCACCCCCTAAAATATGAGGTGCTCCAGCACCGTGTGCTGGGTCTGCCCCGCCCTCACAGGGGCAGGTGCCAAGCAGAGCGAGATATTCCTTTGGAAAAGCTTTGCCAGGAGCCTCCTGCACAGATTTGGTCACACAGGAGCCCTTGGAGGAGGAATTGTGTTTATTATCCCACAAAGGTCTGTAACTTCTCCCTCCTGTGAACACCAGCACGAGCAAAGCTGTAACTGTGTGACCAAAGCCCTGCTGTGCCCACCTGCTTTTTTATTAGAGTTAAAACACCTATCCTTGTAAAACGCGACTTTTAGCACTTACTTAACACTATATTTGCATTTCAAACCCTTAAATATCGATCTCTATGTTTTTTTACTAACGCCCTATCAAGGGATTTAAGCTCAAAGCCTTTTAGCCAAAGCCGGTTTGCCCGAGCCAGGCCAAACTTTTCCGAGCTCTTGGGGTTGGTGAGAGAGAGAGAGAGAGAGAGAGAGAGAGAGAGAGAGACACGGGAATGGAAATGTTCACGTTGCCCGGAGGGGGTCTGTGCTGATCGGCTCGCAGGGAACTGATCACGCTGAGGTTGCAGCAATGTTTTATTGCTCACTATATTTCAGCCACAAGATCAAATAGAAGTCGGGGAAGACGGCTTTAAACAATGGGATGGTAAGAGCAGTGTTCGCTATAGGATGCAGTAATGTATATTTTTTTCCTAAGTATTCCTTTTCTTTTTTTTTTTTTTTTTTTAAATTATTTTAAAAAAAAGCCTTAACGGTAAAATTTCTGTTAATTCCTACAAGTTCATCCTGTTTTGTTTATTTTTTTTTACTGTTGTTGTTTTGACTCTTTCCCCCTGCGGTTTCGTGGTGTTTTGATCGTGTCCCCTTTTTCCCCACCCCACCCCCCTTTCTCCCGATCCAGTGTTGGATTCCCTGGATATGGAGGCAATGGTGAGCACGGTGCGGGCCTGGATTGAGAACCCAGTGAAGTTTGCCCGTTCCCACGGGGTGAATGTCACACCTGGCTCTAAAGAGCCAGCTTCCCAAGATATCCATATATTGGTCATTGAAGGCTTCCTGCTTTATAATTACAAGTAAGGTTTGGGGAACTCTCCGTGGTTTGCCAGGGAAGGTCCCTCGTGCCACAGCTAAAAACTCCTTTTTTTTTTTTTTATTTTTTACTAATCCCCTGCCTTGTTCTGAATTCTCACCCCGAAGAGTTTTTGCTGGAAAAATGTAAAAAAATTAATCCCTAAACGCTGAAAAAAAAAAGTGAAGGGGATAATGTGAGTTTTTCTAAAACTCCAGGGGGGGTTTAGACCAGGATTTGAGCTGGAATCCCCCTCACCCCCACCCGAAAGCTCATGGATGAGAACAAGGAGATGAACAATTCACTGCTTGGGACCTCTCCTGGAATTCAGGAACAGTTCTCTCACTTGTTCAACACTGACTAAACTGAGCTTAATAATTAGGTAACTGAGCTTAATAATTAGGTAACTTCAAGGCCAGGTTGGACAGGACTTGGAGCAACCTGGGACAGTGGGAGATGGGATGAGATGGGTTTAAAATCCCTTCCAGCCCAACCCACTCCAGGATTCCGAGTGAACATCGGAGCGAAGGATCACCCTATTTTTTGCCTTTTTTATACAGGGCAGGGAAATTCTTGGCAGGAAGAAGGGGAGGCAGAACTGGCAGGGGAGAGAGAGGGAGAAAAATTCCAATAGCTAAATATATAAACTTCAGCCAATCACCCCCAGCAGACGTGGGGAGCGAAACGTTCTTGGCTCCAAAGTGGAGTTTTGTTGACAAAATCCTTTCAGGAGAAGGAGCTGTTTGTGACACTTGGCAAAGCTGGAGCTGTTACAGGCTGTACCAGACAAGACAGCACCATCCCAGCTTCCCAAACTGGGGGGGACATGGAGGCAGCCCTGGGATTAATCCTGTCAGGAATGGCCAAGTGGAGATGGGGCTGGCAAAGCGCCTCCTGCTCCTGGCCTCTCCCCAGGGAGCAACTCTGGTGTCTCCTGAAGGACATAAACACCCCTGAAATGCTCAGCCCTGTTCCCACAGCCTTTCCTTTGCCCAGAGGGAATGTTCCACCACCAAAACTGGAGCTTCATGGAATCACTGAGTTGGAAAAGCCCTCCCAGCCCCTCGAGTCCAACCTGTGCCCCTCCCTGTCCCCCAGCCCAGAGCACTGAGGGCCACGTTCAGTCCTTCCTCGGACACCTCCAGGGGTGGGGACTCCAAACCCCCCTGGGCAGCCCCTTCCAATGCCTGAGCACCCTTTTCCATGAGGAAATTCCCTCTAATGTCCAACCTGACCCTCCCCTGGCACAGCTCGAGGCTGTTTCCCCTTGTTCCTCCTTCCCCTGGGTTGGAAGGGACATTAAAGCTCATCCAGTTCCAAGTCCCTGCCCTAGGCAGGGACACCTTCCACTAGCCCAGGTTGCTCCAAGCCCTGACCAACCTGGCCTTGGACACTTCCATGAGTGTGAACATGAGCCAAGGAGTTGCCTTGTCCCAAATTTTGCTGCATATTCTCACAGCCCCAGGGTTTGATTCGATTTGGTTGGTGAATCACAGCTTTGGGTTCCTGCACGCTGAGTTTGGAAGGATCTAGAACGAGCCAGGGTTCCCAGCCTGGTGTCTGATCCCCCCCAGGATCCTGTGTGATCCTCCTCAGGATTAGTGGCAGGTATTTGGGTGGGAAAAGCCCCTCCCTTGCCACTCTGATCTTCAGAAAACACCTTCTCCACGGTTTATACCAACCAACAAACCCACTGCCTGTGAGGAAAGAACTCACACCTGGGTTGCCTTCAACAGACACAAACCCCAGAGAGGCAGAGAGATTTTTGGGGTGCTTTAACACTTTTCTCTGTCATTAAAAATTAGATAATCCACATTTTTCTCTCTCCCCTCCCTCAGACCACTGATAGACCTGTTTGACATCCGTTACTACCTGGCGGTGCCGTACGACGAGTGCAAGAGGAGGAGAAGGTGAGAAGGTTCTTTGGTGTCAACCTAATCCTTCTTTCTGCTAAAGGAAAGATCCCTTTACCTTGCTATTAATCATGGAATCATGGGATGGTTTGGTTGGAAGGGACCTTAGAGATTGTTTGATTCCACTCCCTGCCCCGGGCAGGGACACCTTCCGCTAGCCCAGGTTGCTCCAAGCCCTGTCCAACCTTTTATGGACAGGGACACTTTTATGGCCTTGGACACTTCCAGGGATTTGGAGCCCACAATGGATGGGATGTATTGGTGTTTAGAGTGGGAAATTTGAATAAAAGTGGAGAAAGAGACTTCCAGGTGCTAAACTCAGAGTCACCGAATCGCTGAGG